CATGACACCCAATGATTAGACAGGGCTAGCTCATGCATATTTGAGCCCAGGCAAGTATTTAGACTGGAAAGCCTTTTTAATTGAATATACCAATGATCAGGCTGCTGCTAATCAGGCTGTAGGAAATCTGGCCTGGGATAGAGACATGCTACTGGGACAGGGGCGCTTTGCTAATCAACAGACAGGATACCCAATACAAGTTTTTGAATAAATTAATCACATTGCTATAAAGGCATGGAAATCTCTGCCTAACAAAGGAGAAGTGAGCGGCAATCTTACTAAGATCTTACAGGGTCCCATGGAGCCATTTTCAGACTTTGTTGCTCACCTGGTAGAAGCCACAGGGAGGGTGCTTGGTGATCCTGATGCAGCTGTGCCTTTGATTAAGCAGCTTGTTTATGAGCAGTGTACAAAGGAGTGTAGGGCTGCCATTACACCTTATAAGAGTATAGGATTGGAGGCATGCATGAAAGTCTGCAGAGAGCTGGGGGGGGGGGGCATTGACTAACGCTGGCCTAGCAGAAGCTGTAGTTCAGCTGACTCAAAATAAAAGAGGAAGTTCAGGTGCCTGCTTTAAGTGTGGCAAGATGGGGCACTTAAAGCGACAGTGCCCTGAAAGAGGAAGTGCAGCTGAAGCAGGAGGGGGACAATGCCCTAAGCAGCCTGGACTGTGTCCTAAGTGTAAAAAGGGAAAACACTGGGCGAATGAGTGCCACTCTGTGAAAGACATTAATGGGCAACCTTTAACTCAAGGCAAAACAGTCAGGGGAGCCCCCGCCCTCAGGGCCCGCAAATATGCGGGGCAGTAGAGAATCACTACAAAGAGTGGAGCCAGGAGAGGTGGCCAACCCTTCGTCATCCCAAGGACCACAGAGAGCCACTGCAGGTTCAGCAGGATTGGACCTCCGCTCCACCTCCCAACTCATATTAACTCCCCAGATGGGGGTCCAATTGATAGAATCAGACTTTAAGGGGCCCCTTGGCCCAGGTACAGTTGAACTACTTTTAGGAAGATCTTCTACAGCCTTGAGAGGCCTTAGAGTCCACCCAGGAGTGACTGATCCAGATTATACTGAAGTGGTGAAGATCACGGTCGAATCCCCAAAAGGGATTTCAGCCATTTCCCCTGGAGATAGGATAGCTCAACTGTTACTCTTACCCAGCTTACATGAATGCTTTGCTGTACAGTCCAAAGAAAGAGGAAAAGAAGGTTTTTGATCCACAGGGACAGACTTAACATTTCTGTCCTTAGACATGGATCAAAGACTAGTCTTGGAGCTTGTTGTAGATGGTAAGAAGATCCTAGGCTTGTTGGATACAGGTACAGATAGAAGCATTATTGCCAAGAAAGACTGGCCTACAGGCTGGCCAATACAAGTCTCCTCTCAAACATTGCAAGGTCTGGGTTATGCCAAGGCACCAGATGTGAGTGCAAGACAATTACAATGGAAAGATGGGGAAGGGCATTCTGGAGTCATGCAACCCTATGTGTTGGAACTTCCGATCTCTCTATGGGGAAGAGATCTTTTGAAAGACATGGGCTATAAGTTGAGCAATGAGTACTCCCCTGCTTCTCAAAAGATGATGAAAGACATGGGTTATCATCCAAGTTATGGAATAGGGAAGTTCTTACAAGGAAGAAAAGATCCCATTAGTACTCAACAAAGAAATCCTAGGCAGGGCTTGGGTTTTTCCTAGGGGCCACTGAGGAAGGCATTCCCATTACTTGGAAAACAGAGAAGCCAGTGTGGGTTCCTCAGTGGCCATGTTCCTCTGACAAATTGAATGCTGCAAAAGAACTTGTGGCTGAACAACTGTCCTTGGGACATATTAAATCCTCAGTGTCTCCATGGAATACCCCCATTTTTGTGATTAAAAAGAAATTTGGAAAATGGCATCTGTTACATGATTTAAGAGCAATTAACAATCAGATGCAAATTATGGGCCCAGTACAAGGGGCTTGCCACTGCTATCATCCTTGGCAGCCTCCTGGCATATAATTGTTATTGATATAAAAGATTGCTTTGTATTCCCCTGTGTAGCAGGGATAGTGAGAGATTTGCCTTTACTGTTCCATCTTGTAATCATTAGGAGCCGGATCAAAGATTTGAGTGGGTAGTTATGCCACAAGGCATGGCCAACAGCCCTACTATGTGTCAACTTTATGTTGGAGAAGCTATTGGCCCATTAAGAAAAGAATTTCCTACTTTAAGATGTATTCATTATATGGACGATATACTATTGACTGCAAAGGAAGAACAAATGTTGGAGTGGGCTTATATAGATTTAGTTACATTGCTTGAAAAGAAAGGGTTGTTTATAGCTCCTGAAAAGGTTCAGAAAAATAAAGTTGTAAATTATTTAGGAGCCAAAATTAGTGAGAAACAAATTATTCCACAAAATAAGAGATAATTTGAAAACCCTAAATGATTTTCAAAAATTGTTAGGAGATATAAATTGGATTAGATGTTATTTGAAATTGCCAAATTATGAGTTAGAACCTTTGTATAATGTTTTGATTGGAGATTCTGCCCTAAATTCTCCTAGACAATTAACTGTAGAGGCAAGAAAGGCTTTACAGATGGTAGAAGAAAGATTACAGAGAGCCTTTTTACAGAGGTTTACAGAAGGTCAAGACATTGTTATGTGTATTCTTCCTACATATTATCAACCCACAGGCTTGTTATGGCAAGAGGGACCACTACTTTGGATTTATCCTAAAATATCTCCTGCTAAATCTATTGAACATTATCCCACTGTGGTGGCTAAATTAGCCTTGAATGGAATCCAACAATGTTTGCAATATTTTGGAGTCACTCCAAATATAGTTATAGTGCCCTATTCCAGCCATCAAGTTAGAATTCTTTGTGCCAAAGTAGATGATTGTGCCATTTTGCAGTGTGGATTTGATGGCAATATAGATAATCATTACCCTAAGCATCCATTATTGGGATTTTTTAAGGAGCATCCTGTAATATTTCCCAAGGTAACATTGTCTGAGCCTATTTCAATGGCTTCAAATGTATTTACAGATGGCTCTAAGACAGGCAGTGGAGCCTACATGATAGAAAGACAGGAGCCTGTGTTGCATCAGTTCCAGCCTGGCTCCCCTCAGTTTGTAGAATTAAAGATAGTAGTGGAAGTCTTTAAGGCTGTCCTTTTGCTTTTAATTTGATATCTGAGTCAGCTTATGTTGTTAATGCCATTAAGGTTTTAGAAGTGGCTGGACCTATAAAGAGTGCCAGTCCAGTTTGCCTTTTATTTCAGCAATTACAAAATTTAATTTGGCAAAGGAAAATTTGTTTTTTTGTTCAGGATGTTAGAGCTCATACAGGTCTGCCAGGGCCTTTAAGCAGAGGTAATGATAAAATTGATCAGTGGACTAGGATGGAATGCATATTTTTGAGTTCTACCTTAGAAAAGGAAAGGAATTTTCATAAGACTTTTCATGTAAATGCTAGAGCATTACAACTAAAATTTCATCTTCCTCGAGTAGATGCTCGAAAAGTGATTCTGGATTGTCCTCAATGTGTGATCCATCAACATCCACCCAGTATTGCACTAAATCCAAGGGGTTTGCTCCCTCTAAAAGTTTAGCAAATGGATGTAACCCACATATCTGAGTTTGAAAGCTTAAAGTATGTACATGTGTCTGTGGATACCTGTTCAGGCATCATATATGCCATGCCTTTAACTAGAGAAAAGGCACACAATGTCATAACTAATTGCCTAGAAGCTTGGGCTCTCTGGGGTAAGCCCCAGCAGCTAAAAACTGACAATGAACCAGCTTATACAAGCCTTTGCCTATTTTTGTCAACAAATGGGGGTCAGCTCCTTCATGGATTGCCATATAATCCTCAAGGACGTGGTATTGTGGAGCATGCTCATCGTACATTGAAAGAATGCCTCCAAAAACAAACAGGGGGAATAGGCCATGGCCGTATCCCAAAGGAGAGACTTTCCCTTGACCTATTTACTATTAATTTTTTTAAAATGTGGATGCTCAAGGCCACTCTGCGGCTGATAGACATCAAGATTACATGGCCCTGATAAAGGGATGGTCAAGTGGAAGGATATTCTGACAGGCCTCTGGTGTGGGCCTGATCCCATGCTGACATGGGCACAAGGTTCTGTTTGTGTTTTCCTACAGGACCAACAAGATCCGGTGTGGGTGCCAGAATGCCTGATTAGAAAAGTCCAACATGAAGAGCATTGGGACTATCATCTTGGCTGACTTCTGCTATGAATCATCTGAAGGAATGGGCGGGTATAGGAGCATTAGCAGGCCACTTGTTGTTGGTCTCCTTGGTTTGCCTGTGGTGTTTGTATAGGATCAGAATTACACAGCAGCGTAATACAGCTATGATCATTCAAGCCTTTACAACCATTGAAGCAGGACAGTCCCCCCAAGTATGGTTAGCTACCATTAAGAACTAAAATCTTCATGCTCAGGATGCGAGGCAAAGCACTGCACTCGGGGTCAGCACTAGTGGCCCCAAGAAGAGCATGTCTGATTGCATGCTGGTTGATACCCCAGGCCCCGCCTCTGAGAAAAAGGTATCGGACGGGTCTGGTACTCATTTGGGTGGGTGACATCTGGATGAGGATCAGTACAAAGGTCCCTAGGCATCAGAGATCAGACCTCTACTCTTGCCTGTTGCATTTTATAAAATAAAAAAGGGGAACTGTAGAGAGCTGCAAAGTGCCACGCCTTAAAGATGGCACTGGCTTCCACCTTCCACCTTCGCGATGATGAGTGCTCTCTGTATTAAACAATTCCATATTTGGCTAAGGCTGAGAATCTGGCTTGCTTCCATGTATGTGGACCTGTCTGCTTTTGTTTTTCACCGCATGGCATTCTGGGGTTGACTGCCCACGGGCTTTTAAGCTGTGGGCTGGCCTACCCCGGGGTAAGAAGATTATACAAGGTTCCTGAATAAACTGCTTAAAGAAGAGTCTGGGTGTTGCGTTTTCCTTGCTGATCAAGGTAGACACGACAGGTGGTTAGTTTTTTAATTACAAAGAGCTAGTTTCCTAATTACAAAGATCGGAGGCACAGCACTGGAGGCTGTAATCTGGCCACCCAACATTGGGGGCAGCCAAACATGCACATTGGCAGGGTCATAACCCCGCCCATCCATTCTGGCATGGCTCTGCCCCTCCCACCCCGGCAGCCCAGGAGTCTGTAGTGGCAGTGGTGGCACGCTCCAGGGGGTGGGAGACCCGCGCATTTACAGTCTCACTGGGTCTTCCAGTCCCAAAGATGGACCCACAGTTGCTCTCTGGCAGTGGGACAGGATGAGAGCCAGGTCCTGAAAAACAGTTGTGTTAACAGCTTGGATAATGTCAAAATTAAACGCCATCCAACAACAAATGTCCATCAACTCAGGCACAAAAGTCTGCCAGAATCTCAATAATCTCTACTGACAGATTATGGGTTAACTTCAGTCCAGTGGTCAAGAATTAAACTAAAGGGGAGTAGTCCATCACAGTCAGTCCTAGGGTAAAACTACAGACAAAGACAAGACACCAAAGACTCATAGAACGAAAACACACCAAACAGAAACTGACAGATCCAGACATGTGACCTGCCGAGTCTCCAGCAAACAGGCAAAAGACTCCAAGCGGCAAGAACCTCATCACCATCTAGGGTGTTCCCTGGAGGCAGCAAACAGATTCAGACTCGGTACCAACCGACAGACAGAAGCTAAGAAGTGGGCATCCCCAGGCTTCCTATACCCCCTCCCCCCCGCCGGAGATTGCCCCAGGCCACAGCTTTGTGACCGAATTCGCACATCTGCTGATCACAGCCCCTTGGTCCTTACGGCCCAAGAAGGCAGCTGCAAACCAAAACCAAGAACGCATTCCAGAAAACCGATACCAGAAAACACATATTCAGAACAGATACACTGGCCAACACATAATACATACAAACTTAAATACACACATCAGAGGGGATCCCCGTACCTCCAAGTCCAGGTTCTCAGGTGAGAGGGGTGGTCGCGGTTTCCCGGCCATTCCTGGTCAATGCACCAAATGAAAGCCTGGCAGAGGGCGTAGACCAGACCCTCACGCACCGACTCAGGAAAGGTGCTCCCCCCAAATCACTCACAAGAAGTGTCTTGATGCAAAAGCATGAGGTCTTTTATGTTCCACTGCACTGGGGTCCACAGCCATACTCCACATGGAAGTAGGGGACTGGGAACCCTGGGTACAGGGTTTAGACAGCTATTATAGGATTACAACAAAGCCTGCACATCATGAACCAATCATCTCATAGCATCCAGTGCGGACCAATCAATTTGAACTATCCAAGCCCGCGCTTAGCCCAGGAAGTCTGCTTTCGTTAGGGCTTCTGGGTGGTGTGACAAGGCTCATTTCCTGTGTTCATTTATTCACAGGTGTTGTCGTAAACCACCCTGTCATAAACAATCAAGAATGTGACCTTGTGCCTACTCACTGCTAGGGGGCAGAGTCTAGGGAGAGGTAGACTAAATTTTTCCATCCTTACACTTGTCTTTCATTTCCTAATTCTTCTACTGTGGTTATTAAATCTTTGACCTCCTCCTTTATCCCTTGAGGTGCAGAGGCTCTACCAAAGGGATCATAAGAAAAGGGGTTGTGTCATGGCAGATGGCACTGGTGCTCATCAGCTTCAGCAATTCTTTGTTTTAATTGTTCAGTTTCTGCTTCCAAAGTATCTTCTTCAGTAGTTAAAGTGGGACTATCATCTTCTAGTTGGGATCCCTGTTGTTCCCTGATAGATTGCACAGATTCTAAATCTTGTACTTCCTCAAAAGTCCTAATCATCTCTGCCATTTGTTCTTTTACTTTAACATTGTTGCTCAGGAGTTCATATTTAACTATACACCAAAGGGAAACTGTGGCAATAGGGAAATTATCAGGCCCCTCTTCTTTATAAGCCTTTTGGAGATCTTTTTACCTGTTACCAATCGGTGATGTTGAAGCCTCCAGAGTGTGTAAACCAGGGACTAGGTTTTTCTAATATGGCAATGAAAGTCTTCGCTGTCTTAGTTTTAATCCTGATGCCCTGTCTTTTCAATAGGGCCACTAATTGCCCACTGAGAATTTCCTTACAGTTACTGGTACCCATCCTTCAATATACCCTCATTCACTTACTTTGCTGGAAGGCCTCTGAGGGTGATCTCTTAGGTGATCCTTTCTTCCCGATCTCAGTCGGACCTCCACTTGTAGCCCCCAAGCTACAATCTGTTCCACTAATAGGGCAAAGGCCTAGAGATTGAAATAAGAGACAAGACAGCGGGTTATATGTGCAGCTGGAATGCTGAATGCCAAATGCCAAATGACATTTTTTTCGAGGACATGGAGTAGGTTTATATAACTGACTTACAACACAGTGGAAAACAATCAAGGGTCAAGAGTACAAGTTCTCGGGCTTAGTTCCTCCCCAGCAGATTTGTGTTAACAAATCAAGAAGAATACCAAGTACTACTCTGGTGCAAGATGTTCCAGCCAACAGGATCAAGCTTGCTCAAGGTGCCTCGGGGGTCCATGCAGGGCCCTACACTTCTCCTCTCATGATTGACTGAACTTCCGGGAACTTTGAGCTCAAATGCACCTTTCCTTTCTGTAGCTGTTTCTGATGGGTATTCTAGCCACAAATGCAAGCCACTGTCTAGTGCATGTAGAGGACCACCCTTTCCTTGTCTGTAGAATGAGTCTGCTTAGTCAATACTAAAAGCTCTGACCTCTGTGGCTAAGATGGATTGTCACATTGAGTGGAGTCCACTTTTTATTATGATCCTCTTGAAAGAGACCCAATTCAAAGTGTCCTCTTCTCTCTCTAGGCCACTTACAATACCCAAGACCCAGATAGCTAGCTCAAGTAAAAGACAAAAAAGTAAAGTTAAAGACCCCCCCCATTTGAAATAAAGGACAGTCTAACCTGGAATTTGCTAACTTCCCCTCACAAGGCCCTGAGATGGCAGGATACCAAGAATTCACACTGCCCTCCTTTCAGTGAGTCAACAGGTGGTAAATAGGGTCCTTAAAAAACAAAGAGATAGCTGCAACTCCAGTTTGCCCAGACAAGATTGATTAGCACACCCTGAGGCCCTAAGGTCTGTTGACCCCAACATCGAGACCATCCTGCCTCAAAGGGTCATGTACTCAATGGACTGAGGGTCACACCCCCTCCCTAAGATTATGGGTTTTGCCTTTAAAGACACCTGTGCCTGGGGGATAGGGCTTCTCTCTAGCCTGTGTGCTGAGCTCGCCTATTTGTGCAAATGATTCATTAAAGCCTCTTGAGTGTTGCATCAACTGGACTAGACATTGAGTTCTTGGGGGAACAGACCAAAACTGAGATACTCCTCATTCTGAGGGTCTTACACAAGTACCACCTTTCCCTGGGACCTTGCTTAAGGGCCCCAGCCATCATAAGTCTCCCTTTTCCCATCACTTCCAAGAAGAAGCAGGGTGGCTCCAAAGTGTCAGTTAGATGAGGCCACCCTCCTCCAGGTCACCAAAAGTCCTTTTCCAAGCCACACCAGATGGATAGATCCCAAGCAGACAGTGTGCTCTCTACATGAAGCTTCAAGATACACTGCCCCAGCCTGTCTTTCAACTAGATGCCTCTCTGAGACTTGGGCTACACACATTTTTGGTGGTTCTTAAAAAAGTGGTATGTCTGTTTCATGCAGTAGAATATATTCAGCACAGCACTTCATTAAATGTTACTTTGGATTGCCCTCAGCCATGTCTTGTCCTAGGGTCTAGATCTTTAATAAGACAGCTTTCCTAGAGGGCAGATGTTCTGTCATTTGTATTGCATGTGCCCCTTAGGGCCTAGCAGGGAGTGCTTCTCACTACTGAGATAGCACTGGGCCCTTATAACTTTGGGGATTTCCTACTAAAGCATTCCATGTCTCAGAAACAGTCTTTTATTTGTATTTATATTATTTGTGGTAGCCATGCTGATAACCTTGTTGAATATATTAGTTTTCTTCCTATTGTTGCATTTATTATTGACCTCTCTGGCCATTAAACACAATTTATAAAATGCCAATTGGACTTTTCACAATATCACAGCTATTTTCCAAGAAGATATTGTACCTTTTCATCACATCTTAAAATACCATACTCAGCACATTTGGGGGAGCTGATAAAATAAATTTCTCAATATAAAGAAAAACAAAACACTGGAATCTGTGGCATGTATATCAATAAACAAGTTTTATCTCCAATCACCGCCCCAGCTTAAATTATTTGCCTTCCCACTCAAATAGCAACCTCAGTTTATTTACAAACCAGATCACTGGTACATCCCATGGAATCCCCTGAGCTGACAGTTTTGGATCTGTCATTAGCCTAATGGGCATATGTGTACAACTTTTTATACAAATTCCTTCTGGCTAGATGCAGTCAGAATTCTGAATTTATGGATCTTAGAAATGTTTCGTGATGCCAAGGCATAGATCTTATAAAGCAGATCCTAAGCCAGGGTTCGGAAAGCTGCTCATCTTCAAGAACACCAGCACAATCAAACTTAGTTGATGTTATTTAGTGCAGAGCTCTATGATCTCACAGCTTCTTGGATTCTGCAGCTGGAGGTGAGGCCCAGAGGGCATGTGAATCTCTTCCAGGTTGTGCTCAGAGGAGGTGTGCACTGGCCTTTGGAGCTCTACCAGAGTCGTTATTCTTTCTGTCAATCAAGGACCATAATTCAACCCAGCACACATTTGTTGACAGGGACCTGCATGCCAGGCACTGTTCTGGGTGCTTTGAGAGATGTAAGGAAGAAGAAAAGTCTCTGTATTGACCAGTTAGGCTATCATCACAAATGCCACAGCTAGGGAACATAAAGCAAGCTTACTTCCTCTTCTTTCTGGAGCTCCAGATCAAGTTTCAGCAGGGTTGGCTCCTTTCGTGGATTTTCAGTATTCTTGTCCTGTCTCTCCACCCCACCTAGTTCCCCCTTCCCCTTTTCTTTTCAATCTCCAAAGCAAGTGATCTCTGGAGACCCCTCTTCATATGAAGATATTGCTCTTTTGGCCTCTTAAACTGTGGTGACTTCTCTGAAGAAGCCATCTCCAATCACAGCCTCCTGAGGACCTGTGGATAGGACTTTAACTCAGTGGTCAGGAGGCTCTTTACCTCTAATTACCTATAGCTGAATAGGTGACACGGATTGGATCACAGCTAACCTGAAAGAAAAGAGAAAAGGAGAGCTGGGCATGGGTTGAGAGGGAGGGTCCCTGCAGAGACTATCTATGAGAAGGTGACTTTTGACTTCAGTTCACGCTAAAGAAAAGCCTAGAAATCCCATCCACAGGAAAGTGCAGAAGTGAGAGGTACAGTAGGAATCCAGTGTGAAGTGACTAAAGCAATTTTATTTGTAACTGTAAGGATGAAAACAATACAGCCTAACTCTCCACTGACCTCAGGAAGCTAGTAGTTTAAAAATACTAAATATCTTAAATTCCAGACCCTGCCCTCAGCCAGTAAATATGTGAAAGGTCACACTCCTTACCTGACTTTGTAAACTGCTTATGAAACCCCCACCCCAGTGACCTAACCTAATTGCCATTTGTCACCCCACCTAGGAGTCCACACAAAGGCAGACCTCCAGGGCTATAGAAAACTGATTGGTCTATAAAGTGTGGGCTTGGATGGTTTAAATTGATTGGTCCACACCGTGCGGGCTCTGGATGCTTTGAGATGATTGGTTTATGATGTGTGGGCTTTGTTGTAACCCTATAAAAGCTGTCTCAATTCTGTACCCAGGGTCCTCAGTCCTCTACACATGCATGGTGTATGACTGTTGACCCCAGTGCACTTGGAATATAAAAGACCTCATGCTTTTACATTGAAAGACTTAAACTAGCAAAGAAATGAAATGGAGCCCAAATAATTGAAATGAAGGGCAGTCTGATCCAGAAAGCTGACCAAGACCACTGTGCCTAGCTCCTGTAATTTGCTAACCACCAGTAACTTTCCCTCACAAGGCCCTAAGATAGCAGGTTACCAAGAATTTACACTGCCCCTCCTTTCAGTGAGTCAACAGGTGGTAAATAGGGTCCTTAAAAAACAAAGAGATAGCTGCAACTCCAGTTTGCCCAGACAAGATTGATTAGCACACCCTGAGGCCCTAAGGTCTGTTGACCCTAACAGTGAGACCATCCTGCCTCAAAGGGTCATGTACTCAATAGACTGAGGGTCACACCCCCTCCCTAAGATTGTGGTTTTTGCCTGTAAAAACACCTGTGCCTGGAGAATGACGCTTCTCTCTAGCCTGTGTGCTGCGGGGGCCCATTTGTGCAAATGATTCCTGTTCATTAAAGCCTGTTGCATGTTGCATCAACTGGACTGGACATTGATTTCTTGGGGGGAACCGACTGAAACGGGGAGATTCCTCATTCTGAGGGTCTTACATCATCAAGACTGCTTCTTGGGAGTGATTTGGGGTGTCGCCTTTCCTGAGTGGGAGCGTGAAGGTCCACACTCTGCAGGTTTTTCAGTAACCTTGCACCAATCTCAGTTGTGGCTCTGCCTTGTCAGATGACTCTAACCTGTATCAAGTTGACATTGAAAACTTGCTAGCACACCCTTCTGTGGTGGCCAGTTTTCACATACTTGGCCTTTCCAGACAGGCATGGTGGCCTTAAGTGTAGCACCCACACTACAATCTGTTCCACTAATCCGGCAAAGAGCTAGAGATTGAAATAAGAGACAAGACATTGGGTCAATCGTGCAGCTGGAATGCTGAATGCTGAATGCCATTTGTTGAGGAGAAGGAGTTGGCTTATATACTTACTGACTCACAGCACAGTGGAAAAAAATCAAGGGTCAAGTGTGCAAGTCCTTGGGCTTAGTTCCTCCCCAGCAGATGTGTGTTAACAAATCAAGAAGAGTACCAAGAACTACTCTGGTGCAAGATGTTCCAGCCAATAGCTTCAAGCTTGCTCAAGGTGCCTCGGGGGTCCATGCAGAGCCCTATACTTAAGCAGTGTTGAATACAACACAGCAGTAAGAGAACAGAGGTGAGAGATCCATCTGTGTAGGGGCCCAGTGACTATCAACTCACTTAGATGCATTAACAAGCTAAAGGTGACCTATGCATGTTGATCCCCAGCTTCTTTCCTTATTGCAGGATAGGACCTATACACAACAAAACCTATTGGCTGTAGACTCAAATATGCACAAATCCAATTAAAAATAATAACCCAAATAAGCAAACATTTAGCCATTAGAATCATACTGGGTGAAGCCTCACCTAACAGCTGCTGCCTACTGATAAG